ACCGCACTTTTTTTTATTTGTTATGCTGTTGATTCGGTAGACGAAGTCGTTCTTTAAGATATTAAAAGTTTATATAACTAACAATGCAATTTGAAGCTTTTGAAACCACAGCACACAAACACGTGCAAGAAAGTGAGTCTGAAGGAGCGCATAATACAACTTCAATCAAAATTATGAACAGACAAGGCCATCCCCTACCAATCGCTTAAGTCACTGCTTCTTATGTGGACAATTAAATTATTACTATTATTAATATTATTACTATTAGTTAGACAACGAATGTTTAGATTAGTCCATTCGGTTTTTTACGGGCACCAGGTACTGTTGATATATGTTATATATATTTTCACACACGTCTGATGCCATACTGTGCGAAAAACAAATCACGACACAATAATCTTTATAAAAAAAGATAAACGTTACATCACAACGAGACTGCACCTTGACTTGGTGTGATGACTTTTGCACCTCTGTGACTCAACGAGGTACACAGGATGGCTTTTGTCAAGCCAGGGGATCTTGTCATTCCTGTCAAACCTGGCCGCTGAGGACATCCGACGAGTGGAGGTCTTCGACCACTGGTGTCTTCGATTCATCCTCAAAGTAAACTGGCGGGATAGTCTCAAACTCGGATCTCAGAAATCAGTGTTACGTTGCCCGTCTCTCACCGCACATACAACGCCGCTGACTGCAACGACTAGGCCATGTTCTCCGCAGACCCGACGACACTTTTACGAGTATTGTCTTGGCTCCGACACCATGTCCTGACTGGCGCCGCCAACAAGGGAGTGGGGGGGGCAAGGAAAAACCTGGCTGGATACCGTATTCGAAGACGTCGACCAACTTTTCCTTCGAATGGTGCACGACACTCGCCGATGGAAAGCAAATTGGGTCAACATTTGCAAGGATCTTGCAGCCAACCATGGAACGTGGATAGCGGCCATCAGAAAAATTCATGGAGCCGGCTTATCCTTTCCAAGGAGCCAGCCGTAAAGTAAAGTAAGCGTGCTTTGGACCGTATGGTTCGAGGTTCGAGTCCCGCCACCGCCACCCAATTTCGGCGGTAGGCAGCTTTGCTGTCGTCTGGTTGAGTATCACGCCTAATCTATCTGGGCCATATGTAGTGCATCACTCAAAGTCCCGACGCTTCGGTAACCGGTTTCCATTGCTGAACAGCAGGTCTTCGTGACTATGGGTCTGCTGTTCACCCCACTAATGTGCCATAAAAAGACTTGCACTCAAAAATAGACAACAATGACATCGAGTGCTAAATACTAAATCATTTTCCATCATTAGGTAATTCCTGTATTTAATATTTCCATTTTTAAGCACTAATGCGTTCAGCAACCTTAGTTGAATGTTAATCACGTTTATTGGATTTGAAGTTTCTCCCGTATAATGATCCCAGATGATCAAGCTTGGTTTTGTAGCAATTTTCCGAGTCATCGTCGGAATTCAGCTACAAATTTAGAATATTTTTCAATCTTACTACAGATACCGTGTATCCACAATCTCTCATGTCCAACATCTTTCAACCATATCGAGTTGTTGGGTTGTGCTCATCGGATGTGTCGTTCATCGTGCGGTACGCAGCGCATTCGAACGACTACTATGTCTTCGTGCCAGTAGGAGAAAATTTCAATGTGTACAAGGTAAGGCCTACGTTTTCACTCTGATCATCACTTTTCAGCTTCCTAGGTTAACTCTAGTCGGAATAAGTGAGCTATAAATTCCAACCGACGTGTGTAATAAAAATACATTTTAGGTGACAACTTAAACTCACCGATTACAGCTTTTACATCATCTGCGAATCATATTTATGCCGCAGCGGGAAATTCTATCTATGCATTCCAAAATATGAGGTTTCTTTCACTGGAATTGCAAAAGCATCGACATCCGATCACACATCTGCTCGCATTTGGGCAGTCATTTTTGGCTTCTGTAGATGACAGTGGTCTACTGGCTGTGTGGTCTGTCGAGTCTTACGGTATTTGTGAAATTTCGCGAGTTATTGTATCACATCTTATGTAGATGTAATCTTTGAAATGCAGTATAATCCCAAAACCTTCCGTATCAGCTGTTTGTTGGGACCGCTGTCCTATAAAAATAAACTCTTGTTGGGCAGTCATCAAGGTACCCTACAGCTGTGGAATGTTCAGTCAAAGAAACAAATCTATTGGTTCAAAGGGTTTGGCTCACCAGTTACATGTCTGACCCAGGCTCCTGCTATTGATGTCTGTGCTGTTGGTTTAGCTAACGGTTCCGTGTATCTGCATAACCTGAGATACGATACCACGTTATTACGTTTTACTCACGATGGTGGTGCCGTCACTTCTGTTACTTTTAAGAATGGTAAGTCCTCCTTTCAGTGTTACGTTTTTGAAATTGCTACATGTTCACTTAAGCCCTTCTTCGTGTCATCTATTTTCTAATGATGTTTGCATCGATTTAATGTATCATGTGATCACCAAGTGCAATCTGAATGAGCAGAGCTCACAAGTCAAAAAGAAAGGCGATGAAACACATCAAACAGCTTCTGTACACCATAATTTTATAATATTTTCAAGGCAATTTATGTTGCAAGAGGAACGAACGCCTTTGACAACTAGCTTCGTTCTCATCCGGTGCAATATCATACTGATTCCACCATATATTTCATTACATTATACATTACATTACATTACACGTCTGACGCCAGACTGTGTACCAAACAAATCATGGTACAATAATCTTTATAAAAAAGAAAAATGTTCCATGATTTGCATGTGGGCAGAATACTGCCAGGTTGTCCAAGCTAAGGCAGGTGAATTTTCTTGAAACAATAACCAAAGCCTTCGGCTAGCCAAAGCCTGACTCGCAAGGTGGCGGGGCGGCGTGTAAAAACCGCATTCGATTGGTGGCCAGTGTCCTGTTCATCGGGTCACACCCTTTTGGACGGGGTCAAACGCCGAAGGTGCCCAATACATCTCAATGCCCAATCGAGCCGGTGATCACTGCTGCAACCAGGAAGTTGTGTGTGTGGTTCGCACTCTACCTCTTGGTTGGTTTGGAATCAGGGTTTTTGGCCAACTCCCATAGGTGAATTACCAGTGGTCCACGAACCCGGCTATAGTCCCGGATGTCGGCTTTTCATCCTCTGACTTTGGTGAGAAAACACCTCCGCCACGAGAAGACAGTGAGTAGGGCTTCCTCAGCAGAGCATTTTACAGACTTCACTCCAAAGTTCCTGAGTATAGCTTGTTTCACAATAGGTGACCTGATTGTTTGTTTTGCTCTGTCCGTTGATCATTTTGCTCAGCTGGATAGAAAACGTGTCACAATATGATTTTTTGTCAAAAGATGATGGTCCCAAACACCGTTCCAAATCCAAATTTATTTCTGACCAATTAAGGTAATCCGTAGTGGACAATGCACTGAGGATTGACCCGTTTTCCGCAACCACAAAGAGTGAATGGACTCCAGTCTTCGTGAAAGCCTGTTGCCTGTTCCTGTGCGGTTGATTTTTAATAATCTTTTTCCCCTGTGATAACTACGTTTACCGGTCAATCTTCAGGCCTTTGAATTGAATTTTGACTATCTGGGTTCGTCAATTCACGCACACTTTAGGTACAATATATTCAACCATTCTACCGTATTTCACTGTCAGTATGCAATGAAAAACGCGATACCTGTTAATGCCATCTGGTTCAGTACTCATGATCATCGATATCGTCATGACTGTCACACACCTATATATCTCTCTTTATAAAACCAATCTGTACAGATACGGTACCAAAAATAACCATGGGTTAACGGAAAATATGGATACAGAACCGGGGAAACAAAACAGCCAACTTAAGAGTATATTAAATTTTTTTTCGTTTACTGTAAGTCATTTTGAGTTCGTTTCGTTTTTGTTTATTTTTGCGATTGCACACAATGAAGGATGCATTCACGCCACTGATTTCGGTTCGATGCCATATCCCGCAGTGTCTCCAGCCGAATCTTAATCTGAATCTTTGGGACCCCAGCCAGGGAACCGAGAAACCCCAACGGAAGCCAGATCTGAGCACAATCTCTTTAACTCTCTTTGCCACGTCATAGCCTGTCCACCTCGCTGGTTCTTCCTGTCTGGACCGATGTCTGCGAATAGTGCACGGTGTGGCGGACGGTGCTCAGGCATTCGTAGGCCGTGCCCTAGCCACCTAAGACGATGCTGTGAAATTATTTTGCTCGAAGGAAGACTATCCGATCCTAGCATCCGTCGTCTGAATTCATCGTTATTCACGTGATGCTCCCACCATACTCGGGCGATGTTGCGCAGACAATGGTTGTCGAAGACTGATAGTCACTGGACGTGATCTGCTCGGAGAGGCCGGGTCTCGCAGCCATAGAGCAACATGGTGCGTACCGTTGCGTAATGCACACGCCCTTTCAGTGAAAGGGATATGTCACACCGGTGCCAGAGATGCCGCAGATTAGTAAACGCTAATCTAGCTTTGATCACGCGTTGAGAGATCTCCTCACCAACACCTCCATCAGCCGGTATGCAACTCCCAAGGTAGATGAAGCTTTCGACTACTGCCAGAGTGTCAACATCCAAAGAAAGNTGCAACAACACTTTGCACTTTCAAGGTGCCAAGGTCATACCATAACGAGTAACCTCAATCGCCGAACGGTTTACCGACTTCTGAATTGTTGGTGCGTTGTCACCGAGTAAAGCAATATCATCGGCATACTTTAAGTCTAACACTCTGTCTCCAGGAAGAAGCTCGATGCCAGCGTTCGTTACGTTGTATGACGCGTTTCGTAGGACATCATCTATGGCAAAGTTGAAGAGAGACAAAGAGATAGGGCAACCCTGTCGCACCCCACTGGTGACAGGAAATGAGGGCGAAAGTTCACCGTGGCCCTAACTTTCTCGGAGGTCTGGTGATAGAGCGCTTTTAAGAGTGAAACACACTTCTTGGGTACTCCGTATCTCCGCAAACAGTTTTATAGTGCGTGGCTCACGGATTGACTCACTTGTCACTGTGAAACCGAGAACTTAGTGCATTCGACGGTAGGTCGACCGAGTGGAGCAATTCTCGTTTGTGGAATGACCAGAATCGAATCTCCAGGCCACCAACAGTCACGGTGACACGCCTCACATTGTTGACCGCGATCCCAACAACCGAGCTCGGATGAACTGAAACCGAAATCCGAAGGGGGAACAGNAGAAGAACAAACGGTGAGAGAAGCGAATGATCAATGCAGAAGACAGTATATAGACTACCTGTTGTGTGGCACATGAGTGAGATAGTGTAAGATAGACAAATGCACGTCTACTCAGTCAGGTCAAACGAGCGTAAATCAGTTAGAAAAAAGGTCATCATCATGGATGCGGAAGTGAAAGGTACGTTATGCATTATATGAACACTACAACGAAACCATCACTAACATACATGTGGAAATGTGTACATTTTGTAGGGTTATTTATTTCATGAGACTTTAAAATTGCACTTTGTCAAGAAAAACAGATCCAAGGAGTAGTACACTTCGTAAAGTGTGATCAGTTGAAACATAAGGAACTAACTGATGAGGTAACATGATGCCATCACAACAAGACTGTACCTTGACGTGGTGCAGTGGATTGTGTATCTCTATGACCCGACGAGCTAAACAGGATGGCTTTTGTCAAGCCGAAGATCTGATCATGCCTTGAAGGTCGAACGAAGTCCAGTCTCTTGGTCCACCAGGTTGGGGGTTCCACTAGAATTTGCGTTTCAGTCAGTAAAAATCGTGGAGGAGTAATTGATCCAAGTAAATGGGCCTCCACTTCGCTTCACCCGATGCCTTGCGGCTAGGTTCTTGTCATAACTAAAGGCTTTGGTTGAGAACCCCCTTAGTGGCTGGATACCCTAGCAGCACCCGTCCATCTAACCCCAATGCTTATGCATTGCGAGTTGGGCAGCGATCAGTGAAGTTCCCTTCTCTGTATTTCGCTGTGCGATGATTGATGATGATGATGACGATGATGATGAAACCTGAACAAATGCACGCAGGACATTTTCCATTTAACCCATATGGGTGTTCGCACCTTCCGCTGCCTTTTCCGTCGGCGCAGTCAAAATTGCCAATCCATCTGAAGCCCGTGGAAATGAATTCATGACGTGCGCAATTTTGAAGCCGTCGTCATGGAAGCCAGTTTGATTCACTGTATTCCCGTGTACGGTCAACTTATTCTCAAACGACTTATCTGTCATGCTTGTAACATAAATCGAGAACGAAGAGGTTGAGCTGGTTGCTGGACAAGAACAAAACGTATAGCGTGCATTGCATGCTTGACAGTGCTTTGCGGTGGTTTCTACACCGTTAAACACGCGACGATACCCCGGTTCACCACAAACAGATTGTGTTTACGAGCATCATGTCGATAGAAATTGTATAAACATAGCAAGACTTTTGGAAAGTCCTGAACGAGTTCCACCGTAGAGGGAAACGATCTAACCCCGTCCCCAAGCCACCTAACCATGTATTTGGAGGAAAAAGGATATCATAAGGCCAGTAGACTGACACGTTATCAGACGTAAGTTCAGGTTGCGGATAGGTGGTAGTCGTGAACATGTGAGTACTGAGTCGATAACCAAACGACCACGAACAACCCCTGGCGATGCCTGAGGACAGGGTTGGTTTCAGTCTGGCGAACTATCTCTGTGCTAAAACAACCCACAGATGATTATAACACACACGAATCTGATCATAATATCATAATATCATCGACATAACTCAAGTAGTTGCCTTACAGGTAGTAGTCGACTGTGCAAAAAACTTTAAGTGCACCCTCGAAGAAAAAGACCCGGCGGTACAGTAGACTGCATTTTGTGCGACGTTCCCGCAGTCCTATGAATTGGTCTATCAGGCCGACTTCTCCTCAACTGAAGCAAAAAGACAAAGGTGATGTAACAGATGATTTCAAATACAATAGTGATTGATATGCACCAGGTGGGGGGAGATAGAATGGATCTTGATCATACGGTAAAAGAGTGAGAAGCGCAAACAACTTACTGGTAGGATTGTTATAGTATCCCTGTTCCAAACCTGATTGTAGGTTGAACAGAACCACATCTCCGCTGGAATACCCAATCAGCACATAGTTGCCACAATTTGTGATAAAAACAGCCTATAGAAGAATAGAGTTTGACGAGTACCGAACAATGATTAGTATCAGGGGAGAAGAAACGCATTTGTATGCGCGGGTAAACTTTACATTTTAAACATTCAGAAATACCCAAAAATGTATAAACGTCAGTAGTATCGTCAATTCGGAACACTTGGCTCCATGATGAAGTACAAGCAACGATGGAGAGAGAGAGATGTGCGAACAGCAGCGATGAAAAGTCCTCCACAGTGATTTCATTAATGATCAAAGCTAAACGAAAGTGCAGTGCCATTCTATCAATCACAACGGGGCCCACAGTGACCTGTCATCCAAAACAGCTTTTACTAACTGATGCATCTTCGGACGGCCCATTCATTGCGGAGCTATTCTGTGAAAGTACAAACCTTTTCGTTGACGACCCAGACTAGATGGTGTGTCGTGACAACAGACAGGGCCAGTCTAAAAACAGCACCAGTGTATCTATTGTGAGACGTAATCGAAAGAGAGCATATTCGGTTATTATATTTCACACTTGACTGAGGGCAGACTGTGTACCAGGCAAATCATGGTACAATAATTTTTATGAAAAAAGAAAAAACGTTCC